TTTTGAACACGCACCATTCTTCTACAAAGTTTGTGATCCGCTTTTTCAACGCGCACCATCTCTCCACAAGTCTGCTGAACATTCTCTAACCATATCATAAAGAACTTCACAATGGAATTACTGTCACAATTATTAACAATTCATTGACAGTCATAATCTATTTACTCATAACTTTGTTCCTTTGGAATTAAATCGATATATTCGCACATTTGTACCCAAAGTGACAGTTTTTTGTATTATTGGGTGAGTCTCTCATTATTTCTTGTTATTGATTATTTTTTCATATTGTACATCTCAATCCACAGCCTATTATTATTGCTGCTGTTATTATTTCCTGGTATCATGTCACTCGATAATTCACTAAGCCTTTCATCTAAGTCTTTTTCCGTGGGCGCCATTTCTGTACCTTTACCTGTTTTTAATCCCCGAAAGGCAGAACTCTGGTTTGCACGCTTAGAAAGCTTTTTTGTTATAAACAAAATCACAAGCCAGATTACGAAATTTAGTTACGCAAATTTGTTGCTGCCGGATGACGTTACTGAGCAAGTGCCTGACGTCATTTTTAAACCGGATCCTGACTCACCATATGATTGCCTAAAAAAAGAGGTCATACGTGTCACATCTTTCACTGACCAGCAGACTATCGACCAACTTTTAGCCAATGTAGAGCTAGGTGATAACACACCTTCCCAATTAAAACGCTACATGACAAGTGTTTTGGGGAATCGTGTAGTTGATAAACGTCTATTATATCAATTGTGGCTCAGACCCCTCCCACAAAACATACAGCAAATACTCGCAATTGGAGACGAGGATGTCGATTTTGACAAGTTGGCAGACGTAGCCGATCGAATTTACGAGCGGACCAGGATTCACTCGGTATTACACGTACAAACAAACTCAACCGACGAGATCGCCGAGTTACGACAGACAGTCGACGTCCTCACTAAACAGACAGCTCAGCTACAACTTTCAAATGCACATCACTGCAAGTGTAGAGGAAGGTCCAGAAGTCATACACGTCGTAGTCCAAGCACCATCCGACATAACAATTGCTGGTGCCATAAAACGCTCGGTAAACAAGCTAAAAAGTGTATTTCTCCCTGTAATTTTGCAAGCACATGGAATAGGAAAAATCAAGGCCGACAATTAGTGACGACTGCGGTCACCGGCCACAACTCACACGAAAGCCGTTTGTTATGTGTCACGGACAGAAGAACCGGAACACAGTTCTTAGTCGACACAGGGGCAGAGGTTAGTGTAGTACCACCTACTGCACTCGAGAAAAAGACACCTGACCCCATACTGAAACTAAGAGCCGCGAATAGATCCGAGATCAAGACATACGGTAAAAGACATTTACGATTGCATTTCGGTCCTAAATACAACTTCTCATGGAACTTCATCATAGCTGATGTTCTTGTTCCCATAATCGGTGTTGATTTCCTGCAATCACATAAAATACTCGTAGACGTTAGAAACCGAAAACTGGTACTTGCCGATCACAGCAGCGTAATCAAAGGAATTCTATCTAATGAGAAGTCCATACATTTATTGGTCAAACCTCATCGCGAGAATGAGAAGTACGTCAATTTACTTAAACAGTTTCCAGACTTATTAAGACCGTGTTTCAAACGTGACAAGCTGACACATACTGTCGTACACCACATCAAGACAGAGGGACCACCAGTATTTGCACGTCCAAGACGCCTTGACCCTCTCGTCTGGCTCTAGCAAAGAATGAGTTCAACAAAATGATAGAGTTGGGTATCATACGCCCCTCCGATAGTCCGTGGGCATCACCGCTACATATGGTACCTAAGAAAAACTCCTGAGGTTAGACCTTGTGGCGATTACAGAGCTCTCAACAGCAGGATTATAGCAGATAGATACCCGCTTCCACACTTACATGACTTTACTCAGTCTATCTGATGCAACGTTTTTCTCAAGGGTTCACCTCGTCCGTGCCTATTATTACATTCCAATTCACCCGGATGTTGTTCTTAAAACAGCTATTACTTCCTCATTTGGGTTATACGAATTCGTTCGCATACCTTTTGGATTGAAGAATGCTGCACAAAGTTTCCAACGTTTTATTAATCAAGTCGTACGTGGCTTACCGTTTGTATACGGCTACATAGATGACTTACTCATCGCCAGCAAAGACGAAAACGAACATCTAACTCATCTAAAATTGCTTTTTGAGAAGCTAAATGAGTATGGGTTAACAGTCAATCTCAACAAGTGTGAGTTCGGAAAGCAATCCCTCACTTTTCTAGGCCACTTACTGGACAATCAAGGTATTAGACCGGTTCCTGAGGAAACACAAATCATTAAAAATTATCCCTTACCTGACTCCTTCAAGAAACTATGACGTTTCCTTGGGATGATCAACTTTTATCGACGTTTTATTCCGAAATGTGCTGACATAGCGAAACCGCTAACGGATTTATTAAGAGGACGAGCCAAATCACTAATGATGACACCGCAAGCAATTCAAGCTTTCGAACAGTTGAAAAACGCATTAAGCACTGAGGCATTGCTGGTCCCACGTAAGGTTAACGCACCTTTAGCAGTAATGACCGACGCCTCTAATGTTGCGGTAGGTGCTGTACTTCAACAACGCGTCAATCAACAATGGCAACCCCTAGCAATTTTCTCAAAAAAGCTAAATGCGACGCAAACAAAATATAGCACATTCGGTAGAGAACTGTTGGCCGTCTATTTAGCCATCAAACACTTCCGGTATATGTTAGAAGGTAATTCTTTTACAATATTTACTGATCACAAGCCGCTAACTAAATCCTTGATGCAAAACCATGATAAATACAGTCCACGCGAAATTCGTCAACTAGAATTCATTTCGAAATTTGCAGCTGACATACGCTATATAAAAGGCATGGGAAACGATGCAGCAGATGCACTATCTAGAATAAATATTAATATTTTCTCAATCCATGATATAAACTGTCAAGATATTACAGTAGAAAAAGCTGGTAAATATTCTACTGTTAGCATCGTCAGAATAAAACCAGCGTTTTCAGAGCACATCAAGAAGAAGACAACAAAACCATCCGAATCCACATCAAATCAAGCACTACACAAACTACCTGTAACAATCAATACTTCATACGGAAGTTCAACGGCTACAGAAACTACTACAAGATCAGGTAGGAGAGTACACTTTCCAGATAGGAACGTAGCAACAACCATACTTATCTGGCTCAAATGCTACAAATTGTTCTCTATTTTTATTAACTGTTCTTTATTGGCCACACGGAACTTCATTATACTTACTTTTAATTTCATGCAATCCTTATACACATACATAAAACGTTTCAACATATGCAATCTATCATTACAAATTAACGCTTACTCATCACATCGGATTGTACATTTATTTCATAAACAATTTTTTTATCACTTTGCCGAACATAGATGTTAATAAAAAATATCTTTTTTATAGAAAAAAACATCTACGTTCTGGATGGGAGATTATGTAGCAAGCCCATTCAACTATTTTACTTAACGTGTGCTCTCTGTAATCCTAACATTTAACCCTCTGTAAATTTATGTGTGAGTCTGATTGAGCGCATGTCTGCACATCAATCCCTAATTTGTTCTCTCATTGGTTGTAAACAAAGACAATCAATAATTTATCCACAATCCATTAACACTCTTAACACTCATATATATGGATTTTTAACACACTCACTTGTTTTCCCGGTGTGTTTGCTGTATGTACGCTTGTGGATTTTTACCGAGCTTCATCAATAAACTATCTCTTTAATTGGTATTCAGGCTTTTGAATAATCTCGAGTAAACCCGTAATTTTACTAGGAGATTTAGCCTGCAGTAAATAATCAGTTAGCGGGATATTATTCATTTATTGGAGTCAGATATAGAGAAAATAATCCTCTACACATACATATTGGAACATATTCACTTAGTATTCTTTGGTTGAGTCTACCTATTGATGTTTTACGACTGCAACTGGTCAGTCTCATAGTGAACATCAACGAATCTGAGATGCAGGTACATCCAGCTGACGATTCCAAAATAGGACGAAGCGCGCATCAAACTGAATTCCATTGCTAGCCACTATCCATCTTTGCTTATTGGTACATATATTCTTATTGATAAGCAGTCACTCTATAAAATCATTCTATGAAATGTGTGAAACATTGAACATTTCTGGAACGCAAATCTAGTCAACTCATGGAGATTGGACAGATAAAGATTTAGTTTTGAATCAAAGGATCTAATTGACATCGGATAATGTCAATATAATATCCAGTATTGATCAGTTGAGATGTTTGAAGATTCATAGAACAGGAATGGTTTATCCAAACATTTCTCTCTTAACTATACTAAGTATCAATGTTCTTATTGTTCTAAGTAGTATAATCAATCCAATCATTAATATATGCATTATTATTTAATCTTCTAAACAACAGCATATCATTCCAGCAGTAGTGACATTACTCGAAGCATTTATATGTCGACCGAAATCTGTTTTATTGTGGAAATCATTTGTTGTATGTTACATACTGATGACAGTCTACAATATCTAGTAAGTCAATATAGAAATAAAATTATTTCAATATTCCTTTTTGACATGGGTTATTTTTGACGTCTACACTTCAATGTTCCGTGCCTAAACTTCAATTCGGTTGATCTACTCGTCACCACCATTTCATCTTGCATATGGACTAATGAGAATGAACGAAACTAAGCACGTATCGCACGATATTGTACTCTCAGAATTCTTGAAGTAGTGATATGATTGAGTAGATATGCAGCTTAGGAAGATTCAATTGGTGGTGTTGTTTCCACACACACACACACACGGACACTGATGTACATTCACATCAGGCAATCATAAATGAACAGATTCAACTTGGAAGCTTATTTCTAAACGAAGTATTCAGTAAGGTCATCATCATCGTCATGATTAAGGGTAAATGAACTGATTTGCATATAGTTATCACTTTCAATTGATGCATATCAAATGTTTATTTTCATTTCTTTATAGTATGGAAGTTTCAATTGTTGCTTTGCAATTCAGTCCATATCCTAAATTAGACAAAATTCCTACTGTTTATCGTTATCTTGTTTATCTTATAAGTTGGGGACTGGTAACTATATTCACTCTTGTCAGTTATGGAATTCTTCGATTTATTAGACGTAATGATAATGATATTGGTGAACATATTATTGAGTGAACTAGTCTAGTTTCATAGCGAATAGGTATTCAGTCCTATTTCTTACAAAAGATTAACACATTTATATATTTGCAGAATGTTGTATAATAAAACAATTTTAATGTTTGTATATTTCCTGGATATTGAAAGTTAGTCACAATTGATTGAAAACTTGGTGGTGATCAATGTCATGCGTGTCAAGTCACCCTTAGTACTGGTCGGATTGTGATTACATCTCAGTACTACAGGAGGTTGGTGGTTACCCGAATAGCTCAGTGGTAACGTCTCTGATTGTGAAGCTAGGTGACTCGGGAACGAATCCGTCAGGGAGCACCAGTTCCTTTAAGATAACAGGTACACCTTGCTGATGAGTGCCAAGTGGCACGAAACGCTGGTCCAGGGTTTCCTGTTGACCACTTCCAACCATCATCCTATTGAAGTTAGTAATACACATTATAATACTCGAATTCTGTAAAGAAGAAAAACTGGGAATCGAATAAAATAGTAAAGGAGTTAAACTGACAGTAAAACGTTGGACATGAAAAACTCTATGGTTTGGTTGAATTTGTCAATTAAAAATAACACCGTGTTGAGAAATCAACGAGATCCACACTGAAAGGTATGTTATTGTTTAGGGAGAGAAATCTAGAATGTATGATAGGTATCAATACCAAGGTTGAACATCATAGTTTTAAATAAATTGAGCATTGGATAGAAAGTTAATGACAAATACATTCTTGTTATATCCTAATGAGTTGGAAATTATACTTCTGAAGTTTCGTGAATGAATGTAAGCCACTTACTTGTTCAGAATAAATAGATAGATCCTTACAATACCGACTGAGCCACTCAAAGACCCACATAAATCTAGTGGATCGTTCTAGATATGGTAGGTACCACCATAATGTACGTGTTACTATGAGGATAACTTCAAATGTCCAAGTCGATGGGATAACGTTAACATAGTTTGAGCCTCTCCACTTTCCTAGTGCGGACGCGTTGATGTGAAGTGGGTAGAATTTAGATGTGGACGAATACACTGTAGATATTGCTATACCAGGCACTTCATCCGACTCACAACAGCTCAACTGGAGACTGCATATTGTAGTAAGGCCTCGTCGACCGCACTCGACAGTAGCCATAGCAAACACAACTCCCCGGAAACACGTCATGATCACTCAGGCAGGTCTCCATAGGTTCAGAAGTTTTCATCACAGAGCACAGAATCACGTTCGCCACAGGTATACTATACATGCATACATTTAAAGCACGCAAGTCTAAAAAGCCCATACACTCCATAGTACACAGATAGTAATAGTTGCTGACAATGGTTCACAGGACGTACCTTGTGAGGCCACGACATATCTGAAATTTATTATATCATGAAGCACGAGTTGAGATGTTTAGAAATAGACTTAAAGTCGTTCAGTTAGAATCTTAATAGTGATATTATGACCGCTAAGGACTACGTTCACCCACACACAATAACAACTCACAAAAGGTCAAAATACGTAATCCACCAACAATTAGATGATGAGGCATTTGGCTACCTTGGGAGAGTCATAGTTACTCCCACTACTTAGTAATTATCCAATAATGTTATACATGTGATAGTGGTCTATGATTAACTCCTACAAGCTACCATCCATTTATTGTTCGTTCGGATAGAACATGAATTGTGCTCAGTTCTTTAGTAACCGAGTAACCACTATAGATCAAGTTGAAAGATGGTCTTCTGACTGAGTAACTCATCGTCACTCACATTCACTAAGATTTGATGTTGGAATGTTAGTGATAATAATAAACATGCAGAGTCACGTGTAGTTCCATAACAAACGTTTCGCCTACTCTTCTAGTTGAAATACAAGTCAACCAACTTTGTAGTTTACTCCTCTATCTTTTCAAAGTTGAATTCACGAGTCCATTTAAGCTAGACCACCATTGAAAACGTGGGAGCATTGGACAGCCATGTCGCCCTAGTGTGCAACTCTTCGGTAGTGCACATCCACGATTCCGCGAACGCTAAACATCTCGAGCACTGACCCGACATTCAACGGTGTTAATGTCTAAGTTGAATCGATCTATTCCTTTATAGTAATGGTTTTATGTAAAGAACTACAAAGAAGAATGATATGATCTCAATGTAGGGAAATGGTCTGGACAATGTGGGAGACAGGGAAGACCAGTCAAATACTCCAATGAATGTGCCTATATTAAACGTCGAAACTTACTTCTGTTCAGTCTAATGAGAGGGTTTACATGGGACAAATGAATTGCTCACAGTTTGCGTTTATGTTGAAGTTATGTTTTAACTAACTAGTCATCAAGAGAATTCGATTCATAGATGCAGATATCCAACAGTACATTCGATTTAAGTTCAATACAGAAAAATCCAAATGATTTGCTTTGTGAAATAAAAACTAGCCTTCTTCCGCTTACCAGTTATAACATGAATTTTGACGAGATGTTTCTTCATACTATAGTGATTTGGGATTAACTGATATCCTACATACATGAATGATACTAGATAGAAACCTTTATCCAAAAATTCAGTGATCCACTTCGTCGACTAACTACATTAAACTCGACATGTTCTTCTCTCACTCAGCATAGGTTTCACCTGGAACTTCCTGAATTCTTTCTGGAACTATGAACTATGCAGGGGTGTCTCATCACCACTATTATCACTGCTCATATTGTCATTAGTATTATCGTCATTATGATTATTAGATTAGGATGAGATTATGTTTGGACATGTCATCTTTGAACAGACAGATTGAGTAGGAACTGATCGAGTTGGGAAGTTCCGATTGTGAATAAATTTCGGTGTGGACTCATTGCAGTCAGATTGTCTGATGATTATGTTGGTGATTATAAACATGATTACTGTGGAGAACGCATGACTACAACGAATGGGGTAGGTGTTCCGGAGTGGAACTGTTGATGGTTTCGTATTTGCGATTGGATGATGATATAGATGATAATGAAGATGAAGGGTGTTGACTGGAATCAAGCATAGAGAGAGCGTGTTATTGTACCGCTGATGAAACGGGCATCGACAACAGCTGCTTTAATGATGAGTGCACAGTAGTTGACTAAAAGATGGAACTTGTAATTAGCACATGCTTGAGTCATTTTTCCACTGAACAATACAATTACACAGTCTAATACCAGAAAGTCATCCAAACTGACATCATTAACCGGTGACATGGTAACTTGTCGTTCATAATAAACTGGACCAGTTGGATATAGTGTAACAGATAGACATAGAACAATGGCAAAATATCAACTTCATTTTTAAGCAAGTACACACAATCTCGTGGAAATGTGACCTATTCATAGGAGTGAGAATGATGCTAAATACATGTGAGTGTACACATAAACTCAATTAGATTCAGTTTCAGACAACACAGTTTCCTACCCGATTGAGTATCTGGATTGATCTCGGAGACAGAAAGCTAGTGTATGAGAATTAGACTCTGAAGACCACACAAGCTCAACAGTCACAAATGAGGATCTACAATACATCTTACATACTGTACTTCTTCAAAATAATTAATATTTCTCTGTCATGTTTCCTTCAATGAATCAAAGAGGATATCTATATTCCTTCAGTATTCACCAAATTACATCCAAACTGTCATCGACACTGTTTATGCTGCAAATCCAACTGGTCCGTTGTTCCGATTCACAAACACAAAAATCATCATAAATAAGTCTATTGTCCACTCCATGCTGACTTTCCATAGTCTGATCATTTTGGAAAGGGATTTGGCACTCATTTGACAAATAGGGCAAGGATACGAAACTCCGAATAAGACTCATATTACAATTACATAACAATGTATTTTAAAACTATCAAAATTATCTATGAGAAAATAAACTATTGAATGTCAGTGAGTAGTATGGTACACCCAAATAGTATAGACTAAGTAAGCATAATGTTAGACAATGCAAATGCAGTATTAACAATGGACAATGGTGGTTTTTGTTGAACCAATCATTGTTGTATGATTCCCGTGATGATCATTCGCTTATATTCATCTCTTGAGTGTTAATGAACATTTGTTGGTCTTTACTATCTTCACATTTCACTTTGTTGTCTCCCAACTGGGAAATTCCATTCACATACGAGCTATTATTTAATTGATTTATCGATGAGTCTGCTACTTCAAAGTACATCGATGTACTGGAAATACAGTCAAAAAATCGTAGATTTTGTTGTGACATGCAATATTCGAGAAATAATATACTGACTAATATAGAATCTCCCCAAACACAAGCACAGTCACCTAATGGACCAAAATAACTGACAGTGAGTAGAGGAGATCAAATATTGATTGACTAGATCAAATCCACATGAATGTGTACTAATTCATATACATAGAATTCTGTCAATCACATAGATTATTAGGCATCAATGGTGTATGTCGCATTCCTTGGAAATGTAAATCGTTTTTACTGAAATGTCAACCTGTATATATCTGTAATCCACTAATTAATCTCTGTTGTTGATTATACACTACCCTCGATTGATTACATCTAACTGAATGCCAATGAATGTTGCTTATTAGTTAAGAAGTATTTTTTGGTGAACTAAATTATCTAAATACTAATTGTTTGATAGTTCATCTGAATACCGTTGAGTATTATTGATCATTTCACACGGTAAACCTCGATATTCATATTGGAAACGTCTACATATCAACACTGATGTTGTTCTGGTAGTTTAGACCAATCAGTTTGAAGTATGATTACTCTAATCAATATTCTTGAGTTCATGTCACGATTGTTATGTGTGGTGTATCGGACTATGTTAATGTCCATTTAGTATATATCTGGTAGACATTCCTCTGATATATTGGTATTCTGTCGCTCAACTCGTTCAGTTTGCTAACCTTTTACTTAATTATGACAATTGGGAACTAGCACTGTTCGAATAACGCAAAGTCATTGTAATTTAACGTGAATAAGATATCAGATGATCTGTATAGAATTAGGTAGGATTGTTGATGAACTGG